GATTTTTGAAAATTTGTCATCCAGTGCCTTTTTTTTTTTTTTTTTAGGTGGGGGGAGTTCTGATTTTTTCAAAGATGTGCCAGTTCAGAGACTTGTCCTGGGGTCTCAGGGCTTATCTGAAACATGAGAAGAGAAGGAGGGCTGTTGGAGTGCTCACATTTCCCTCCCCCTACAGCTCATGCTCCCTGATGGCATCACTGTGGAGGTGATTGTGGTCAACCAGGTCAATGCTGGGCACCTGTTTGTGCAGCAGCACACGCACCCTACCTTCCACGCACTGCGCAGCCTGGACCAGCAGATGTACCTATGTTATTCTCAGCCCGGGATCCCCACCTTGCCTACCCCAGTGGAAAGTAAGTGCTGCCCCGGAGGCCAGAGGGGGGCCCTGTTCTGCCCTCAGTCTTGGCAGGAGGATCCCAGGATCCCTCATGGGAACAGCATGCCTTCTTCTGTGGAGTCACACCGAGTTGAGTGTCCAGGCCAGTCAAAGCTGCTATTTTCACCGGCCGATGGAGTGATGAGATTAGAGTGGAGTTTCTATGCAAGAGGAGACAGACAGCCCATCTCCCACCCAAGAGTGATTCACATTTAGTCCGAGCCAGCCTGGACCACAGGCACATGTGTACCTGGACTGCTCAGGGAAGTCCCAGGGCATGAACCCCAGACTTTTGCTCTGTGAGTTGAGTGGTGTTACCACTGTGTCACTGCCTGGCTGACTAGGCTGGATTTTTGACGGCCAGGTCCTTCCCCTGGCTAGTCTTGGGCTCTGGGGAGACTGCTAGAGATCCGCTGGTTTCTGTCTTTGGTGCCATGGGATCACAGGCCTCTTGAGAAGTAGTGTGGGGAGGCAGATAGCAGTGAACAGGGTAGCCCTGGTGCCCCATCCGGGCCATGTGTGTCCACACTCTGCTCTGCCTGCCCTGCAGTCACAGTCATCTGCGCTGCCCCTGGTGCGGATGGGGCCTGGTGGCGAGCCCAGGTAGTTGCCTCCTACGAGGAAACCGATGAAGTCGAGATCCGCTACGTGGACTATGGTGGATATAAGAGAGTGAAAGTAGACGTGCTCCGACAAATCCGGTGAGTGTGATTCCTCAGTGCACGCCCTACTTGTGGGAGGTGTGATCTCTGTGTGACTGGAGGGCTGGCTTAGTCTTGTGAGCCTGGGACATGGGTTCGTTCTTCCTTCTGCTGCCTGCCACGGTTTAGCAGAGTCAGATATAAACAAACTGGATGATCACCTCAGCCAAACTGGACTAGAAGGCCTGTCTTACAGAAGAATCTCCCCAAGTGTCATGTAAAAAGCAAAGCAGGCTCCTTTTTGAGAATTTGATGCAGGAAATCCCTCTGGAGTCATGCTTGCAGTAGGGCTGGCTGCCTGCATTCAGGGGCACTGTGAGCTGTGGCTTGCTGCCTATCATGTGTACCCTCTGCTTTACTTTATCCTGGGTCATGAGGGTCAAGGAGGAAAGCCAAAGGTAATTTTGGTTCGGAGTGAAATCAGCCATAAGTCCATGTTAAACTGACTCCTTTCTTGCCTTTTCAGGTCTGACTTTGTGACTCTGCCATTCCAGGGAGCAGAAGTCCTTTTGGACAGCGTGATGCCCCTGTCAGGTAACAGGTGGGGCCTCTGGCTGGGACGGGGCAGTTGTAAGAGCAGATTTTTCTGAGAGTCCTTGTCTCACCTGGAGGGGGCTTAGGAAAACACAGGGCTCTGCTGCTTTGGAGTTTTTGACTGCATAGGTCTGGGCTGGGGCTAAGAACTAGCACACTTAACAGGTTTCCAAGTGTGGCCAGTAATGCTGATTCATGGTCCATCCTTTGAAGCCCACTGCTTTAGACTTTACCCAGACCCCCAATATTACGAGGCTTCCAACAGGGCCATCTTGTAGAACACAGTCCAGGCCCACTAGGCCCAGCTCCCATGGTCAAGAGCAGGCACAGAGGTTAGCGACTCTGCTCGGCTGGGACACAGCTTCTGGGGGCCTTCTGAGGACAGTGTTCTCACCTTACCTCCCATTTTAGGCCGTTGGGAGCATTGCTGGAGGGAAGAGGACTGGCAGTGTGATGTTGGGCAAATTACTTCACTTCAGTCTTCCTCTCTGGAAAATGGGGGTGGTACCTATCTTTCAGGGTGGCTATGAGAATTATTGGGTTGTTGGAAAAATCATGATGCATTTTTGCATAGAAAAGCATAGAAAAAAATATGATCTGACTTTTCTGACAACTCAGTACTTAAAGCCAGCGACTAAAGATGGTCAAACAGCAGCGATTTGTGGGTAACAGTCTATTTGTTCCATCCTCCTCCCTCCCCAGGTGTGCCCATGCTTGTTTTTAATAATTAATTGCACTAGAAACATGACATGCACTTAGTCATGTCAGGCAGAGCACGAGGCAAGGCCTTCCTTTTGCATTCCTTTTCTACTCTTGCCCACCTTTTCTCTCCTTTTCTGTCCATCAAAATAATCTGTCCAAACCCAGCTGGAATACTCCTCCTTCATAAGATTTTCCAAGACTTCACAAACACCTGCCCCTCTTACCATTTTTGTTCTTGGGTATGTCTTTCAACATAACTTACATAATCCAGCGAGGCAGAATGCTGCCTCAGTGTCCTGCTTGCTTTCAAGTCACTGCATGCATTGAGTTGCACAGCCTTCTGCCTGGGCTCGAACTCCACTTCAGCACTCTGAGAGCTGGATGACCTTCAGCAATCAGTCTTTGCTTCAGTGGTGCCACCTATAGAGTGAGCAGTGATAACTTGTCTTCTCCCAGGGTGTTACTGTGTGGTGAAAAACACATACAACATGCTCAGCACTGCCAGCACCCAGTAGGCGGTGGTGGTAGAAATGTTTCCATTACAGGCGGAGCTCTCCCTTTGGCCTCTGTCCTCAAGTGGGTATGATGTACAGGGACCCTGAGCTTGTTGACTTGGAGCAGTATAGGGGCCTACGCTCTGTACCTGGTGTAGGTGGCTTGCCCAAACACAGTTCTCAAGTCCCATGCAGCATAGGAAAGCAGTCCATCCACCTGGAACACATGTGAAAGTCGTGTGAATGACAAGGCATTTTTGCATAGAAAAGCATAGAAAAAAATATGATCTGACTTTTCTGACAACTCAGTACTTAAAGCCAGCGACTAAAGATGGTCAAACAGCAGCGATTTGTGGGTAACAGTCTATTTGTTCCATCCTCCTCCCTCCCCAGGTGTGCCCATGCTTGTTTTTAATAATTAATTGCACTAGAAACATGACATGCACTTAGTCATGTCAGGCAGAGCACGAGGCAAGGCCTTCCTTTTGCATTCCTTTTCTACTCTTGCCCACCTTTTCTCTCCTTTTCTGTCCATCAAAATAATCTGTCCAAACCCAGCTGGAATACTCCTCCTTCATAAGATTTTCCAAGACTTCACAAACACCTGCCCCTCTTACCATTTTTGTTCTTGGGTATGTCTTTCAACATAACTTACATAATCCAGCGAGGCAGAATGCTGCCTCAGTGTCCTGCTTGCTTTCAAGTCACTGCATGCATTGAGTTGCACAGCCTTCTGCCTGGGCTCGAACTCCACTTCAGCACTCTGAGAGCTGGATGACCTTCAGCAATCAGTCTTTGCTTCAGTGGTGCCACCTATAGAGTGAGCAGTGATAACTTGTCTTCTCCCAGGGTGTTACTGTGTGGTGAAAAACACATACAACATGCTCAGCACTGCCAGCACCCAGTAGGCGGTGGTGGTAGAAATGTTTCCATTACAGGCGGAGCTCTCCCTTTGGCCTCTGTCCTCAAGTGGGTATGATGTACAGGGACCCTGAGCTTGTTGACTTGGAGCAGTATAGGGGCCTACGCTCTGTACCTGGTGTAGGTGGCTTGCCCAAACACAGTTCTCAAGTCCCATGCAGCATAGGAAAGCAGTCCATCCACCTGGAACACATGTGAAAGTCGTGTGAATGACAAGAGTGCTTTTCCTCAGTGGGACTAACTGTTGCTTTTTCCTCTCCTAAAGATGATGACCACTTTTCACCAGAAGCAGATGCAGCTATGAGTGAGATGACAGGGAACACTGCACTGCTTGCTCAGGTATGTGGGTGGAGGGTGGTGCAGACTGCTCGGGACCTGTCTGAGGAATCTTTTGCCTCAATTAAATATTTGGGCTTCTTGGAAATTGACCTTTAAATTTCTTTCCTGTTGCTTGGGTCCTGGGTTGACCAGCAGTCTTTAAGGAGAAGTGCGTGGAGTAGATTTAACACATGCTTGTCTCCCCTACCCCCACCTCCCTTTTCACTTCAGGTAACAAGTTACAGTCCAACTGGCCTTCCTTTGATTCAACTGTGGAGCGTGGTTGGAGATGAAGTAAGTTTTGCCCTCATTTCCTTCTAGTGGCTGGTCAGCAGTAATGGGCTGATTTGGGGCTGGTTCTGGCACTTGAGTTAATCAGTGGCTATCAGTATAGACCAGGGCCCCTCAGGGGACACTTTGGCTACCACAATTCAGGGTGGGGATATGGAGTCCTCTGGTGGGTAAAGGCTGAGGATGCTGCTACACGTCCTGTAATACCCAGGACCCCCCACTCCTGCCAAACAAAGAACTATCTTGCTCAAAGTGTCCATAGTGCCAAGGTATTGAAACCCTGCACAAGACTTCTGGGACCTTCTGTCATTGTGTTTTCCTATCTTCATCTTACGTGTTAAAGCTGAGATTCCATCAGCATATTAAAAAGCTTATCTTCATGCCAAAGTGGCCAAGAGAACATTTAAGTATGTGCCCTTGTCTGCTAGGAAGGAGTCATATCCTCCATCCCTCTTTCTCTTGTATACCTGTTACCTGCAGTGGCCACCTGGGACCTGGGAGGGCAAACCCACGTTGGCTTGAGAGATGTCCCCAAGGTACACGGCAAAGCTCTCAAGGGAACTTTCTCTTCCAGGTGGTGTTGATAAACCGGTCGCTGGTGGAGCGAGGCCTTGCTCAGTGGGTAGACAGCTATTATGCAAGCCTTTGACCCTGGCCCCCACAGCCACTTCTTGAGTCTTTTTTGCACCGTTGAAATTGGGCTTGGTACTCAAGGCAAAGATATAACATCAGAATAACAAACGTTGTCTTCTCCCGAAAGTCCTTTTTTCCTCCATACTGTGGTCCTAATGCAAAGATGTCTCTTCTCAGAAAAAAAGAATAGAACTGTGAGTTCTTTTCAAAGCCATAGGATGGTGTTTAATAAGCCAGTTGGCTTAACCTGGTTCTAAGCTATTAAGAAAAATTTTTTTGAAGAAAACCATTGTCAACTAGGCCGTCCTATCGCCCCTACCCTGTTCCATTTCTCGCTTCTTCTTTCCCATCTCCTTACCTACCCAAAACCAGACATTAGCAGACAGGCCAAGGAATGTGTGTTACTTGGTTAGAGTTTCTTTTGCTTCAGAATCATCAGGGAGCAAGACATGAACTGACTAATTGGTATCAATTACTTGTACAGCTTAAATGAATTGATGGTATCAAACCAGTTTTTATAAACTTCATCTAGGTCTATAGGAACACAGACTTTTTTAACACAGGGGTAAACAGGAGGCAATCATTACACCTCTGGCCTCGTTTAATGGGGAGGGAAGTGTTATCCTGCCAAGCCTGGTTGTAATTTGTAAGCATTTTCTATTTGTGCAAACTCTGTAAATATATGTTTAAAAAAATGTAATATTTTGTACAAGATACACTGGAGAACAAAGGGAACTCAAGATTTTTCCATACCACATGTCAGCTGTAAGTAAAAGTTCATTGCAGTGTGCAGCCGCCCATCCCAGCTCCTGTGCCAGGAGCTCCCAGACTTCCTGCATCCTGGATGGGGTGATTGAATGGCAAAGACTGTGATCTGGGTATTTTTTGCTGTACAAATTTGTTTAAAAAAGAAAAAAAAAAAGTAACTCATTGAATTACCTTGCTGTGGTGTGTTTGATTCTTTTTTAGACTGGCTTCAGCATTGTACAATTTAAAAATAAGTAACTTAAGTAACTTATTATAAATCTTGAATTGTATAAACTATAGCTTTGAGTCCATTTTGTTTTTTTTTTTTTCAGTGGTAAAGACAAGGTTGGGGTGGGAGGTAAAGAGGGTGGTTGTGAGTGTGGTAGGCTGGAGGCAGCATCTGACGGAAACCTGTGGTTTTGTGACTACAGAAGTTTGGCCAGAAATTTTTCTCTGCCATTTCCCCTCTGCTTACCCCACCAGGGGGCAGCCAAGCTTCCTCTGGCTTCCTCCACTGACTATCGAAATAAGCAGACTGAAGTTTAAAGCATCAGTTTCCAAAATCAGTTGTTCATTATTTGGCTGTGCATTCTTGATAGATCCGTGAAGTGATTTATAAGTCTTCAGTGGTGGTAAGAATGGTATGGAAAATCTATACATGTAAGTGATGAGAGCAGGTACTAAGTCTTGATTTAATTGCCCCTCATCTTAAGGGCAGGCTCAGACTGCTATACCTAGTCACCCTGGCCAGCCCCCTGGTGTCCCTCTGGGGTTGACACAGGTATCTTGTGCTGTGAGACTTGCCGCCCCTCCAGGGTGTCAGGCATGGGCACCAGTCTCCAGAGAGCTGAGATAGCCTGAGGGTCCATGGAGGCTGGGTGCTATACCTCTACAGCCTTGGTCATGCCACTTAGAGTCATCAGCATCTGTCAGATAAGAACTGATGTCAGTTCCGGCCACTGTAGGTTTAAGAAGATTAAAGATTGTATCTGGGATTATGGAGTGCTTACTGTGTGTTGGGTGCAGAGCTCTTTTACAGGTAATACCTGGTCCTCAGGATGACCCAGTGCAGCGAGGTCTCCTTCATAGGTGAGCAGGCTAACCCCAGAGGGGGCAAACAGTACTTCTGGAAAGCGGTTTGTGGTTGGAGCAGAGCTGAGACTCCAAGGCAGGCTGTTTCCTCATGCCAACTGCTTATAACCACGGATCCTATAAAGCAGTAATGCCTTGGTCCATATCCCCACACTCATACAGTGGCTCAGTGATCAGCCCATAGAAAAGTTCTGGAATTTGGAGTTGAAATAAATGCCATGATAGGAAAAATCAGTAATGTTACTCTTTTTTTTTTTTTTTGAGAGGTTTTTGCTATAGGGCGTGTGCACGTGCCAGAAAGACAGAGACAGAAAGCGAGAAATCACCTCCCAGGGGGGATGGCCACGCTGCAATCCCTTCTCCTCCATTCTCTCGGGATCTTGGACACACATGCACACACGTCCAGCGTGAGTATAAGCCACCAGGTCCGGGACTCAAACCATGGTCGACGGCATGGGAGTCCAGTGACATAGCCATTATGCTAACTGCTCGTCCCAGTAATGTTTTTTTATGAAAAATAAAAATCTAAGTAACATAGATAAAGCCAGGAGAAACTAGTAGAATCTAGGCCCACGGGCGAACACTTTCAATCCACTGGAAAATGCCATAAATGATATGGACAGAAAGTAGAAAACCTGAGTCTGTTTCTAGACCAACCTTGTTCAATAGAAATATAACATGAGCCACATACATAATTTAAGATGTTTTAGGTGCCACAGTAAGGGTGTACAAAGAAAAACAGGGGAAATCAATTTTAATTCCTTTTACCCTCCATATCATTTTGGTATGTAATGGACATAAAAGGTTGAGATATTTCCTTGCATTTTTTATACTAAGTCTGAGATGCAGTGTGTACGATACTTCAGCATATCTGTTTGGACCCCCACATTTCTGGTGCCCAGTCGGTGCTCAGCGTGTGGCCTGGGGCTGCCGTGTTAGGCAGGTGCAGGGTGGGATCCTCTATTGATCACCATTACTCCGATACTAGACTGTGTTTTTCCTTATTCAGAATGTTCTAGGTTCTTCTGCACACTTATTTTTCTAGATGAACTTGAGAGTACATTTTTTTGGTAAGGGACCATGCCAAATGTTCTACTGACATTTGAAAATAATGCATATTAATTGATTTGGTATAACGTTTTCTATACTCTATTAAATTGGGTTTGTACATTATTAAAATCTGTTGTTTTTCTTTCTTGCCCTCCCCCTCCCCCATCTTCTGTTGGTCTGCACTCTGTCCACTTCTAAGAAAAGTACACCAGATGGTTCTGGTGCTGTCACATTTTCCTATTTGTCTGAACTTTGATAAGTTTCAAGTTTGTGGCTTAGTTTGAAGAGGCTCATAAGTGGAGTTTTCTCATCACTGTGAGTATCTGATATCCAGTTTGGTGCTTTTGTTTGAATTTTGTATTCTTTTTCTCTGTCACTTTAGGAGGGTTGCTTATACACACTGCTTTTTAATTTTTTTAAATTTTAGTGGAATCTGGGAAGTTTTTTTTGTTTTGTTTTGAGAGGTTTTTGCTATAGGGTGCGTGTGCTCACCAGACAGACAGAGACAGAGAGACAGAAAGCGAGAAATCACCCTCCAGGGGGGATGGCCACGCCGCAATCCCTTCTCCTCCATTCTCCTCTCGGGATCTTGGGCACGCACACAACGCGCCTGGTGCGAGGTTAAACCACCAGGTCTGGGACTCGAGTCATGGTCGGCTACATGGGAGTTCAGCGACATAGCCATTACGCTAACTGCTGGTCCCTGGGAAGTCTTTTAATAGGTATGTTTAACCTTTTTATTGTGACCACTAGCTAGTGCAGTACTATTTCCCATTTAGTTCATTTTCCTATTTTCTGATATTTCCCCCTTTCCTCAATATTTGCTTAATCAAATGATTGATTTTTTGTTTTTTACCCTTTTAAGAGAGAGAAAAGGAGAGAAATAGGTCGATATTTCTAATGTGGTCTTGCTCTGTGTTGTGTAACCCAGCCACTCAGTTAGCTAAAATGACCAGTTCAGGACACCACACCCAGTGTGTTCAGGTTGGCCAGGGTCTTCTGTGCAGTTGTGCTCTCTGTACCACTGTGGCTGGGCTATCGATAGTCATTTCTGTGTTAAACTGCCAGAGGATGGCGCATACATGCCCTTGTGAGAGAGCATGTGTTTCAGTGAGGCATGGTCACATCACAATTCCTTCTCCATTTCCCCATCCTTTTATGATTTTGAGCATGCACGCACACACATGCCTGGCATGTTTTTCAGGCAGCAAGGGCCAGGTTTAGTCCATGACCTGGCATATATACACATGCACCCAGTATGTTTTTCAAGCCACTGGGCCTGGGACTTGAACCACAACTGACCTTGTGGGATCCAGCGCCCACAACCACTAAGCCATGAGGCTGGCCCTATCTCATTCAGCTTCAGTTCATGTTACAGAAAAATACCTGCCGAACTCTATGTTTCACCTGTTACTGCTCACCTGTGTCTTATCTACCTGTTCCTGAATTCTTTCCTTTGATTCACCTTTCATTTGACTGGCATAATTTGAATTTTTTCTTGTTAGACATGTGTGGGTACTTGCACATGTGAACGTTTTTATCTTTTTCTCCTGTTATACCAGCTATCGTATGGCTGGGCATCTCTGGTAGACTGGATGTCTCTGCCGGAAGTTCTGGGCTCTCCACAGTCAGATTGTACATCCTAGCCTGTTGGACTTGGGCAAGGCCGCAGGGCTTGTGTGGTCATGAAAGGTGGGTGGAGGTGACTATTGTAACCAAGGTATGTTCTTCGAGAGCCAACGTGTGGTTCACAGGTCTTCTGTGAACCTCTGCCCCAATGTCAGTCATGTTCCAAGGAGACGCTCACCTGTCCACCTGGGTCCCGGTGTGAAAATGACATGAAGAGCTGCAGCCAGCCTTGGATGGAAGTGTGGTGTGAGGAGCAGAACTGTCATAAGGCACTGAGGTCCGGGGTTCGGGTGTTACCCTTGGCCTGACCTACTCCATCCTGGTTGACCTTTCCTTCTAAGAACTCTAGCCGTAGGACTGTCCGAGCACCATGTTCTTCTGCCTCACTTGGGACAAGTTGCCCCTTCTGCTTCCATAACCTCCCCACCTCCATCCATTAAAAGTGGGATGAATTGGGGGCCAGCAGATGGCATAGTGGTTATATTGCTGGATTCCCACATGGCTCACCACCATTTGAGTCCTGGACCCCAGTGGGGTTGAAACTCGCCAGGTGCATGTGTGCATGCCCGAAATCCCAGGAGGAAAATGGAAGAGAAGGGATTGCTGCGGGATCATCCCCCCTGGGAGTGATTTCTCACTTTCCTTCTCATTATCTCCGCCTCTGTCTCTCTCTGGCCAACATATATGCCCTAAGGCAAAAACCTCTTTTTAAAAACAAGGTGGGATGAATTATGTCAACATTGACTTATGTGCTGGGTTTGACTTTTAACTAATCTGTTTTGTAAATAATAGCTTTCTTAAAGGTTCCTCTTAATGAGGCTGACTTGTATTTTTTACAAAGCAAATTATGTAGGCGAGATCTTGGCTGTTTCTTGCTAGACATAGCCCCAGCTGACATTTGGTGGGAACAGACTGCTTTGAGAAGCCCTGATGCTCTGGGCAAGGAAGGCAGGTGCTTCCTACTCAGAGCTGGGATGGTCTCTGGTCTTTCTCTGGATGCCTTGCCTTGCTGACAGGCAGGGGCTCCACCTGTCTCACTGATTTCTTTCTGTTGAGTGCCTACTGTGTGCCAAGCCTTGAGCAGGGGACAACAAAGATAAGACAGACACAGAGCCTTTTGGAAGCATGAGTTTGATGATCTCACCGCAGGTGGTTTTTCCTGCATGGGTGCCTTCCTCACTTTCTTACAGGATCCTGACAACCTCTGATGAGGTAGGAAGGACTTGCACCCAAGGCCTCCAGATTCCAAGGAAGTACCACGTTCTTGTGTACGATGTCTCTACTTCTCTTTTGTGGTGGCACACGTGCTAAGAAGCCATGTGACCAGAAAGATGAGCGAGGCCATATCCCTGTGCTGGTGGGAGGGCTCCTTGCTAGAGGGAGCCTCCAACACGCCTTGAAAAAAGAGAAGGCAGGGTGAGG